ATGTCGACGAGATGTCCAGGGCGTGCATAAGGATGCGCGTCTGCCGATGAAGCCCTACAGCAACGTGGTGCCGAAGTTGCTAATCGGACTGGACCATGGTCATCTGGGATTGCCACTTAGGACAAGGCGGTTTGCCAGAGAGGGACCGTATGCGGCCGCAACCGAGCTTGGGTGGGTTGTGTTCGGGCCAGTAAGTGGACAGTCAACTACGCCGTCACCGAGGTCCTGCCTTCTAGCCGTGTCAATGGACGACACAATGGAAAAGATGGTGGAGGACTACTTCGACATGGAAAGCTTTGGTGTGAAGCTCGCGCCACCGGTCGCAGACAGCGACGACGCGCGGGCCCAAATGATCCTCAAAGACATCACGATGAAAGTGGGGCGTCGCTACCAGACGGGATTACTCTGGACGACCACGATGTGCTACCATGGAGCTAGGAGATGGCGCACAGACGGCTGATCAACGTCGAAAAAAAGTTGAAGCGCAACGGGCAGTTGGTGCTGGAATACGATCGGATCATCAAGGATTACGTATCCAAAGGATATGCAAGGAACAAGCAGCCCGATGAGGTCGAGGGGAAATGCGACAAGATATGGTATTCGCCACATTTTGGTGTCGAAAAGCCGAACAAGCTCGGTAAGGTCTGACTTGTGTTTGATGCTGCAGCCATGGTTGGAGGAACCTCGCTAAATTCGGCACTGGACAAAGTTCTCAGCACTACAAGCCCTTGCCCTTGCCTGCTTTTCCAACGATTCCTTTGGAGAGACGGTAACATCGATCGAGACCCGGATGTGTACGAGATAAACGTAATGACGTTTGGAGCAGCCTGCTTGCTGAGTACTGCGCATTACGTGAAGACGGTGAATGCCCTGAAGTTTACGGATTCAGATCCGAGGGCAGTCAAGTCCATCATCGACCACCATTACGTCGATGACTATGTGGACAGTTTCGCAACGGAGAACAAAGCTATTGAGGTATCTACTCGAGTGAAGGAGATACATGCGGAGGCTGAATTCGAATTATGCCAGTTTTAATCCAGCTTATCCATCGTGGAAGCGGCGTTGGGACCACCTGGACAAGTCAAGAGCGTCGAATGGGGTGAGGCTGAGCAGGAGATCCTTGGAATGCGCTGGCAGGTAGCAACGGATGACTTCAGATTCAACGTGGAGTATCATCGAGTGCCAAAAAGCGTTCTAAGTGGAGATCGAGTCCCTACAAAGAGGGAGTATTTGAGCCTGTGCTGCCTGATGATTACATCAAAGCTGTTGCTGCGGAAGATCTGGAGGCAGAAGATCCAGTGGGACGAACCACTGCCGGAGGAGATTGGCAGAGCCTTTGCTGCCTGGCGCGGAGAGATGGACGCCGTGGGGCAGTTCCGATGTCCTCGCCACTATTTTGGGCGTGGAGCTGTTCGGACCATCGAGTTGCACGTGTTCGTGTATGGAAGTCAATCTGCATTCGCGGCGGTGGACTATTGGGAGGTCACGTACGAGGATGGCAACGTGCTGGTTAGCTTCGTGTGCGCAAAGACGAAGTGTGCGCCGATGAGGACGATGTCGATCCCACGGCTGGAGCTACAGGCAGAAGTCCTTGGAACCATACTAATGAACACTGTCAAGGAGGAACACAGCGTGGATATCAGCGAGACGGTGTTATGGACGGACTCAAAGACGGTGCTTATATGGATCTGCAGCACCCACCGCCGGTACAAACAGTTTGTTGGCAACCGAGTGGAAATCATTTTGGATTCGTCAAAGGTTTCCCAGTGGAGATGGGTACCTACAGCTGACAACGCACTGGATGATGCGACGCGGTCCCGCATTTTTGAGGCAGCCAGCAAGCGGCTGGCCAGCGCCTGAGGGACGAACCGAGCATGTTTCAGAAGCATCTGACGATTAGGAGATGCCCAGTGAATTCGCATTGGTGGCAACGAATGAATTTGTCATCCCGTTCCAAAAATTCTTTAGCTTCAGTCGCCTAGTGAGGACCACAGCCTGGGTCTTGAGGTTTGTGCGCCGGTGCCGCAAACAGAGAAGCAAGCTCGAGGAATACCGACTTACTGCAACGGAGTGTGAGGCCGCGGAGAACCTGATAGCCAGACAGGCCCAATTGGAATCGTTTCCCAGACGCGCAGAACAACAATGGCCTATCTCGGACAATGTTGCGGCCCGTCTCTAAACTTGCAGTTTTGGATTTGAGTGAAGCAGTTCTTCACGGGGTTGGGGCTGTCGACGGTCGAACATTGAAATCGATAGGTAGAATCAGTATTGGTAGGAAAATGTAGTATTTCTTAAGTTATCCGATCTTGTGTGGATTTCTTGGCCCTTTGAAGTACGGGCTTCTTGATCTCGGTAATGTGAATGCCGCCGAAAAAGTGCCTTTTCATTCTCTTGTGAATTGTAGGAGGGCACACTGCGGTAAGATTAAGATTCTGTAATGTGAGGCTAATGTAAGCAATTTCAGAATAAAACCGCTTGCAACAGCCACGGCCATAGGCCCTTAAAGTTACACCCATTCTTTCGGACCTACGCGTGTTGGGAGCCGTTAAAGGCAACTCCACATAAGGCAAGACAATAGAAGAGATTGTTTTTTCGTCTATAATTGGGATTGAATTGTATATATTAAAATCAATTTATGCACACTCAAAACTTCCATCCAATTGAATTGGTGGAATGTTGTTTGTATTTATAACAGAACTGTTTAGGTGAGGTGCCGTTGTGCCGCCGCTCATCCGCGCTGAAGAGCGCATTCGCCCTCGTCCCTCTCTGCAAAATCTTGCACTCTCGCTCTCTCGGGTCCAACGGCAGCGGTCGGACGTCGGCGATCGTCTTTATTTCTTATGCTAAGCTACATTAAGCCAGTTCTTTCGTATGAAGTGAATAATGCTGATGGGTCACTCCAACACTCCCCCGATTTCCGCCACCATCTTATCTGCGATCGAGAGGCATCTTTTTGCGGCAACACCGCCCCACTACATCATTTTAGTCCTTCGAGCCGGATTTTCTGGATATTCTGGATATTTTGGATATTCTGGATACCTTTTCTACCAGCAGTTCCCGGCAGTGTTCCGCCAAAAGATAAGTACGACTTTTTTTCCGTCTCCGTCTCTCTGCCGGTCTTCATCAGTGGTACGAATATTAAATTTCGTTCACATTGCTGCAAGATGTTGTTTTCCTTCCGTGTCAACTCCAAGTACGAGTTTTCCGACACAACGGCAGTGTGAGATTTTCTACTCATCTTCGTCTTCAAATTCTGCCAATTTTTCCATCCGACTCCGTTTTGTGTGCCGCCATATTCCTCGCCGTTTTCGGCCTCCCCGTTATTTGCTATTCCGCTATTCGCTTGCCAACGGTCGAGGCATATGTGCATACATATAATATACACACATACAACCATACTTTTTTTTTTTGGTGCAATTAATCCGCGAAAAATTGACCAAGTGAACAGTGAAATTGTGTGGTGACAAAAATAAGGCATAATTAATATTGGCCAGCCGGTGTGATTTATTTCCAAAAATTCCTAAATTCATTTAACAGTCCGCCGGTGGCGTAATATTTTTTTCCCAATCAGTTTTTTTTTTTACACCACACAGCTTTCTGTTCCTCCATTTATACAGTCCACAGCCCACTGTGCCAACCTAGGCCTCACGTGCATACATATACTTACATATATACATACTTTGTGAAATTGTGTGGTGACAAAAACGTTCACCTTCGGTGTCAATTGTGCCCCGTTCCTAGCGATCCGTGTCCTGCAGCAGCTCGCTGACGACGAAGAGTTGAAGTACCCGCAGGCAAGCCAAATTATCCGGCATTTTATGTACGTTGATGACATTCTCGCGGGGGCAGAATCCAAAACCGAAGCCCAAATGGTGATTCGGGAGCTTAAGGGCGCCCTAGAGTCGGCAGGGTTTCCACTGAGGAAATGGACGTCGAATAGCAAGGCGATCCTGGCAGACATTCCGAGCGACCAGCTCCTTCGTGCTGATTTCCTGATTTCCAAGACACTCGGCGTGCGCTGGAAAGCGACGAGCGATGAGTTTTTTTTTGTTCCAAAGCACCAAGTCCTCTCCCAAATTGCCAAATTGTTCGATCCAGCAGGTTGGCTCGCTCCTTTCATTGTCCGGGCAAAAATGTTCATGCAGGACATTTGGCTTCTGGATCTGGGTTGGGACGACGCCCTCCCTCAAGATTTCTGTCAACGATGGGTTGACTTCCTGAAGAATTACTCGGTGCTCGATCAGATTCGTGTTCCTCGATGGGTCGCGTTCCGACCACACCTAAGGGTCGAGCATCACGGGTTCTGCGACGCTTCAGAGAAGGCGTACGGCGCAGCAATTTACGTCCGTGTCGAGGTTAGGTCTACGGTCATAGTGAACCTGCTGACTGCAAAGACTCGAGTGGCACCAGTTAAAACGGTGTCGCTCCCTCGGCTAGAGCTGTGCGGCGCCTTGTTGCTGTCGGAAATGGCCACCGCCGTTCTGCCAAAGATGCCAGGGCCCGTATCTGCCCCATACTGTTGGACGGACTCGACTATTGTCCTCGCGTGGCTGCAGAAGCCAGCGTGTCAGTGGACAACGTTCGTGGCCAACCGGGTAGCCAAGATCGCCCAGTTCACCGACGTGCAGAAATGGGCACATGTCCGCTCCGAGCAGAACCCTGCGGACCTCGCCAGCCGGGGCATAGCTCTCCAAGACCTTCCGGATAACCAGTTGCGGTGGCACGGGCCTGGCTGGCTGCAAGGGCCTCGCAGCGAGTAGCCCACTCAAGGCAACGAGGTCCCAGTGACTGAACTCGAGAAGCGAGCAGTCAAGGTCCATGTCGCGAAGGCGCCCCCCGAAGATCTCCTTGAACGTTTCTCCACACTTGACAAGGCACTACGAGTCCGTGCCAATGTTTAGATATGCTCTCCGTTCGAAGAGCATCTGACAGCTAATGAGATTACGTCGGCTGAACGTCTTCTAGTTTCCGTCACTCAGGGCAGACACTTCGTCTCTGAAATGGGCTGCTTAAGCGAAAAGCGTCCAGTATCAGCGTCCAGTCCGATTCAAAATCTGAACCCCTTCATGGATTCGCAAGGCGTTATGAGAGCCTGCGGCCGGGTCACGTCCTCTGAACTTCTCCAATATGTCGAACGGCATCCGATAATCCTTCCATACGACTGCCATTTGTCTCGACTCCTTGTTCAATTTACGCATCGCATCATGCTGCACGGTGGCAATCAGCTGATGATCCGCCTGATTCGGGCCAAATTCTGGATTCCAAGGGTGAGGAATTTGGTCAAGTCCGACGTCTATGCTTGTAAAGTATGTGTCATCCACAAGAAGAAGTTGCAGGCGCAACTCATGGGAGAGCTACCGAAGGAACGGACGTCCTTCTCGCGCCCATTCACGGACACAGGTGTAGATTATGCCGGTCCTTTCGAGATAAAGAACTATACGGGGCGAGCTTGCCTCATCACAAAGGGGTATGTGTTGGTGTTTGTGTGCTTCTCCACTAAGGCTATTTATGTAGAACCTAAGTCGGACGTTACGACCGAGAAATTTCTGTGCCTACAGTCACCAGCAGCTTCTCTGGCATTTCATTCCTCCGGGAGCCCCCCACATGGGGGCCTGTGGGAGGCAGGCGTTAAGAGCTTCAAGACTTTGTTCTACAAGTCCACCGCCACACGGAAATACACCTTTGAGGAGCTGGCTACTCTCCTGGCGAGGATCGAGGCGTGCCTAAATTCGCGGCCGCTCGCGCCAATGTCCGAAGACCCTGTTGATCTGATGGCTCTTACACCCGGGCACTTTTTGGTGAGAGGTCCCCTTCTCGTCACGGTCGAACCCGAGCTAAAGGGGATACTACGTCAATTAGTAATCGCTGACAGCACCTGAAAGCTCTTCAACAGCAATTTCGGCTGCGATGGAAGAAAGAGTACCTCAAGGAGCTCCATAAGAGGAATCTCCGCGTTGGGGATATGGTGGTCATCAAGGAGGACAACCTTCCGTCCAATGAGTGGCGATTAGGCAGGATTGACGCGGTGTATCCAGGATCCGATAGCCATGTCCGCGTGATCTTCCGCCACTGGCCGGCAAGTGGCCTTCGTCCGCCACTCATCGGGTGCCGTCCACCGCTCGTCCGCCCGCGTCATCCGCAACTAGGCAACACCTCTCTTCAATTGACCCCGCAGGACGCAGCCGCTGCGCCCACCCTATGGTCGCTGCTGCAGCGGAACAGCGTCAACGTTCTGGCGACCGCGCTAGTGCGCATTGACATCGGGAGCCGGATCTTCAACACGGGGGCCGTTATCATGGACGCATCGCTAGCAGCGTGCTTCCTTCTGCCCACTACCAGCGTGGGGGACGAACAAGTTTGATGATAGCGTTTGGCTGGAGGTCATTTTCAAAATCGAGCCTGACGTGCGCGTTCGTACGCCGTCTCGAGAGCTGAGCGAGGCGGTGCGTGCCCACTTCCGAGGCGTGACATTGGCGGATGAGCGGTTCTATCTGCCAGCGACGATCTCCGTTGTCCTGGGCAATGATATGAACCCGCGTATCATGCAGCCGGGCTTCCAGAAGATCCAGGACGGGCTGCCGGTGTCCCAGAGCACCGTTTTTGAATGGGTCGTGTCCGGAGCCTGTCACCAACCGTAGCGACGAGGGAGCTGTTGCCGCTGAAGAGCGCATCCACGCTGAAGAGCGCATCCGCGCTGAAGAGCGCATCCGCGCTGAAGAGCGCATCCGCGCTGAAGAGCGCATCCGCCCTCGCCCCTCTCTGCAAAATCTTGCACTCTCGCTCTCTCGGGTCCAACAGCAGCGGTCGGCCGTCGGCGATCGTCTTTTTTTCTTATGCTAAGTGAATAAAGCTGACGGGTCACTCCACGACTCCCCCGATTTCCGCCACCATCTTATCTGCGATCAAGAGGCATCTTTTTGCGGCAACACCGCCCCACTACATCAAGAACTAATATTCATTCAAAGACAAGTCACTGATTTATACATAATGAAATATGTTGTTAAACTGTGGACATGTTTGTGTTTTAGTCTCTTTTTATACCAAATCTAATAACTTTTTAAATCAAAATAAACTGATCAAAACCTTTTCTATATCTTCCATTATCCATATCGTTACCTTTACTTATAAGCAAGAATCCAAATTTGTGAGAAATCTTTGATGATTGAACATTTTTACGTTTTTATAATTAGCTCATTAGTCTTTTTAAAAAGAGGTGGTGGTCTTGTCAACCACTTCATTAATACATTACTGTTTAAAGTCCATATACCAGGATATACATTTTGTGGGCCGGGTACACAGCTAGAAAAACGTTTGAAACGGGGAGATCAAGGAATAAATAAACCGGATAAGGCTTGTAAAGAGCTCGACATAGCGTATTCCCATAAAAGGGATTTAGTTGACCGTCAAATTGCAGATTCTATATTAATTGACAAAGCTCACGTGTTAAAGGACCAGACAGTACTCTTGGTGAAAAAGCAGCAGCATATTTGGTGACAAACATTATGAAAACACAGAAAAAATTTGGAAATCAGAGCATTAAAAAAAAAAGCCATTGGACATTATGACTGCAATTAAAATGCACGAAAATCAGTTCAAATGGGTGCAAAGAAAAACGTAAAAGTACCAAGAATAATTAATGTTCCCAAAATTGGTGGTTTTTACCAATCAGTACCTGACTGCCGAGTGCCCACGGTAGTTAAGCCAGTGAAAGTGCAGCATTGCATTGCAAGAACAATAAACAATGTTAGAATGGCGAAAGAGGATATGGAGGAGAAGAAACGACATAATAGAAAAATTGAAAGTGTTGCTGTAGAAGAAGGGTTATATCTCAATACGTATATAACAGGTAATGGATTCTACCTAAAACCATATAGGAAGGAAATGGTATTGAGAAGCGAAAAAAACTAATATGTCAGCTATAGACCAATAGACCACTTTCAAATATAGAAATTAAAACATTTGCTCAAAAATATATCCCAAATTTTCAAGGAGTATCTATGAGAGATTTATTTCCACAATCTCCAAGAATTCGAGAAAGCAAGCCTTGATGATTTACAATCAAGTGCTACCATTGGGTGGCATATAACAAAAATAAAAACGATATACATTATTTTGATAGCTTCGGAAATACAACCACCTATAGAAGTTGTCAAGTATTTGGGAAAACAAATACAATACAACTACGAGAGAGTTCAACATTTTGATAAATACAACTGTGTTCATTTATGTCTTTCATTTCTACTTTCCTTTGTCAATGGAGTGAGTCAATAAAATTCTTCAAATTCTGCCAATTTTTCCATCCGACTCCGTTTTGTGTGCCGCCATATTCCTCGCCGTTTTCGGCCTCCCCGTTATTTGCTATTCCGCTATTCGCTTGCCAACGGTCGAGGCATATGTGCATACATATAATATACACACATACAACCATACTTTTTTTTTTTGGTGCAATTAATCCGCGAAAAATTGACCAAGTGAACAGTGAAATTGTGTGGTGACAAAAATAAGGCATAATTAATATTGGCCAGCCGGTGTGATTTATTTCCAAAAATTCCTAAATTCATTTAACAGTCCGCCGGTGGCGTAATATTTTTTCCCAATCAGTGTTTTTTTTACACCACACAGCTTTCTGTTCCTCCATTTATACAGTCCACAGCCCACTGTGCCAACCTAGGCCTCACGTGCATACATATACTTACATATATACATACTTTGTGAAATTGTGTGGTGACAAAAACGTTCACCTTCGGTGTCAATTGTGCCCCGTTCCTAGCGATCCGTGTCCTGCAGCAGCTCGCTGACGACGAAGAGTTGAAGTACCCGCAGGCAAGCCAAATTATCCGGCATTTTATGTACGTTGATGACATTCTCGCGGGGGCAGAATCCAAAACCGAAGCCCAAATGGTGATTCGGGAGCTTAAGGGCGCCCTAGAGTCGGCAGGGTTTCCACTGAGGAAATGGACGTCGAATAGCAAGGCGATCCTGGCAGACATTCCGAGCGACCAGCTCCTTCGTGCTGATTTCCTGATTTCCAAGACACTCGGCGTGCGCTGGAAAGCGACGAGCGATGAGTTTTTTTTTGTTCCAAAGCACCAAGTCCTCTCCCAAATTGCCAAATTGTTCGATCCAGCAGGTTGGCTCGCTCCTTTCATTGTCCGGGCAAAAATGTTCATGCAGGACATTTGGCTTCTGGATCTGGGTTGGGACGACGCCCTCCCTCAAGATTTCTGTCAACGATGGGTTGACTTCCTGAAGAGTACTCGGTGCTCGATCAGATTCGTGTTCCTCGATGGGTCTGCGTTCCGACCACACCTAAGGGTCGAGCATCACGGGTTCTGCGACGCTTCAGAGAAGGCGTACGGCGCAGCAATTTACGTCCGTGTCGAGGTTAGGTCTACGGTCATAGTGAACCTGCTGACTGCAAAGACTCGAGTGGCACCAGTTAAAACGGTGTCGCTCCCTCGGCTAGAGCTGTGCGGCGCCTTGTTGCTGTCGGAAATGGCCACCGCCGTTCTGCCAAAGATGCCAGGGCCCGTATCTGCCCCATACTGTTGGACGGACTCGACTATTGTCCTCGCGTGGCTGCAGAAGCCAGCGTGTCAGTGGACAACGTTCGTGGCCAACCGGGTAGCCAAGATCGCCCAGTTCACCGACGTGCAGAAATGGGCACATGTCCGCTCCGAGCAGAACCCTGCGGACCTCGCCAGCCGGGGCATAGCTCTCCAAGACCTTCCGGATAACCAGTTGCGGTGGCACGGGCCTGGCTGGCTGCAAGGGCCTCGCAGCGAGTAGCCCACTCAAGGCAACGAGGTCCCAGTGACTGAACTCGAGAAGCGAGCAGTCAAGGTCCATGTCGCGAAGGCGCCCCGAAGATCTCCTTGAACGTTTCTCCACACTTGACAAGGCACTACGAGTCCGTGCCAATGTTTAGATATGCTCTCCGTTCGAAGAGCATCTGACAGCTAATGAGATTACGTCGGCTGAACGTCTTCTAGTTTCCGTCACTCAGGGCAGACACTTCGTCTCTGAAATGGGCTGTAAGCGAAAAAGCGTCCAGTATCAGCGTCCAGTCCGATTCAAAATCTGAACCCCTTCATGGATTCGCAAGGCGTTATGAGAGCCTGCGGCCGGGTCACGTCCTCTGAACTTCTCCAATATGTCGAACGGCATCCGATAATCCTTCCATACGACTGCCATTTGTCTCGACTCCTTGTTCAATTTACGCATCGCATCATGCTGCACGGTGGCAATCAGCTGATGATCCGCCTGATTCGGGCCAAATTCTGGATTCCAAGGGTGAGGAATTTGGTCAAGTCCGACGTCTATGCTTGTAAAGTATGTGTCATCCACAAGAAGAAGTTGCAGGCGCAACTCATGGAGAGCTACCGAAGGAACGGACGTCCTTCTCGCGCCCATTCACGGACACAGGTGTAGATTATGCCGGTCCTTTCGAGATAAAGAACTATACGGGGCGAGCTTGCCTCATCACAAAGGGGTATGTGTTGGTGTTTGTGTGCTTCTCCACTAAGGCTATTTATGTAGAACCTAAGTCGGACGTTACGACCGAGAAATTTCTGTGCCTACAGTCACCAGCAGCTTCTCTGGCATTTCATTCCTCCGGGAGCCCCCCACATGGGGGCCTGTGGGAGGCAGGCGTTAAGAGCTTCAAGACTTTGTTCTACAAGTCCACCGCCACACGGAAATACACCTTTGAGGAGCTGGCTACTCTCCTGGCGAGGATCGAGGCGTGCCTAAATTCGCGGCCGCTCGCGCCAATGTCCGAAGACCCTGTTGATCTGATGGCTCTTACACCCGGGCACTTTTTGGTGAGAGGTCCCCTTCTCGTCACGGTCGAACCCGAGCTAAAGGGGGATACTACGTCAATTAGTAATCGCTGACAGCACCTGAAAGCTCTTCAACAGCAATTTCGGCTGCGATGGAAGAAAGAGTACCTCAAGGAGCTCCATAAGAGGAATCTCCGCGTTGGGGATATGGTGGTCATCAAGGAGGACAACCTTCCGTCCAATGAGTGGCGATTAGGCAGGATTGACGCGGTGTATCCAGGATCCGATAGCCATGTCCGCGTGATCTTCCGCCACTGGCCGGCAAGTGGCCTTCGTCCGCCACTCATCGGGTGCCGTCCACCGCTCGTCCGCCCGCGTCATCCGCAACTAGGCAACACCTCTCTTCAATTGACCCCGCAGGACGCAGCCGCTGCGCCCACCCTATGGTCGCTGCTGCAGCGGAACAGCGTCAACGTTCTGGCGACCGCGCTAGTGCGCATTGACATCGGGAGCCGGATCTTCAACACGGGGGGCCGTTATCATGGACGCATCGCTAGCAGCGTGCTTCCTTCTGCCCACT